TGCCCATGGAATTTCACCTTTTTTCCCTTCTGCCCAGAACCTTTTTTCCTGCCACTGATTACAAGCCTCTGCTCCCAGCCCTTCAGCCACTTTGCAGTCATCCTCACTGGGCTCTGTCACAACCCAGACTTTCTCTGCTTACTACGAGCGTGTAATGGGAGACAGTGACAAAGGCTTCCTTCAAGAACAGCTCAGCAATAGACACTGCTCTAATTTGGCCAACACCCAGTGGCTTCTACAGGGAAGACACAGAGGTTGGTCAAGGACAATTTCCACTCCCAAAATCCACACCTAAACCACAGCACATCACCCTGACCTTGCTGGGAATGACACTGCTCTCCAGGAAGGTTTCTTCTGTCACCTTCTGTGGGAATGAGGTCAGGTTCAACAGCCTCTGCTTTCTGGGAATGCACCTCCTGATCTTCTTCAGAATGAGGGGCATGAGCTCCCTGCCAGCCTACTGGAACTGCTCCCAGGCACCATGACTGGCTCCAGGAGCCCCGTGTCTCTCTTCTACTGGGGAGCCCAAAACTCAGCATGGAACTCTAGGTGATGCTTCACCAGGGATCAGTAGAGTGTCCATTCCTCCCCTTGCTGCAATGACCATAGGTATCCCATGCAGGGTGCCCAGTTCAGCACCCTCCTTGCTATGCAGTCCTTCTCTGACCCAGACGTGGGTTATTGTTTCATTGACCCCCTGGCTGCATGGTCCCCATTCCATCCATGCCAGATTTCCCAGGCCATGGTCTCACCTTGCTATAGGGTCCACAAATGATTCCTTGGGGGGATGCTCAGGCCACGAGAGCCTCCTCAATGCAGGGTCCAAAAGTGCAGGAGGTCCCCTCCCTGCTGCAGAGTCTCTGCACCACCTCTGCAGGGGCCCCCAACTCACCATCCCTCTGCTCTGAGGTCACACAGAAAGGCCCCAGTGGCTCAACAAGGCCCTGCGTGAGGCAATGGGGACATGGTGAAGGAACAAACCTGTGACCCTTGTCTGCTGTGAAGATGAGGCTCTGTGGGGCTGCATGACGAAGGAGCTGGTGGTGTGGTGATATTGACTTGTGCCACCCTCCTACCTCTCTTCCTTCCAGCCGGGGCCCTCAACCTCAGATCTTTGGGTACCAAAGATCACCAGTGAGCATCACTCTTTCTTCTCCATTGTTGCTTTTATTTCTCACTTTATAAAATGCTCCTGCAAAACAGGTGAGCTCTGGGCTGAGACAGGAACTCAGAGTCTCCAGGGCACTGAAATAGTCATAGAATCATAGAACGGTTTGGGTTGAAAGGGACCTTAAAGCTGCTCCAGCTCCAACCCCTGCCACGGGCAGGGACCCCTTCCACTAGGGCAGGGTGCTCCAAGCCCCTGTGTCCAACCTGGCCTTAAGCACTGCCAGGGATGGGGCAGCCACAGCTTCTCTGGGCACCCTGTGCCAGCGCCTCAGCACCCTCACAGTAAAGAACTTCTGCCTTATCTCCAACCTGAACTTCTCCTGTTTCAGTCTGAACCCATCACCCCTTGTCCTATCACTGCAGTCCCTGATGAAGAGTCCCTCTCCAGCATCCTTGTAGCCCCCTTCAGACACTGGAAGCTGCTCTGAGGTCTCCCCACAGCTTCTCTTCTCCAGGCTGAACAGCGCCAATGTTCTCAACCTGTCTCCATACAGGAGGTGCTCCAGCCCCTGAGCATCCTCATGGCCTCCTCTGGACTTGCTCCAACAGCTCCATGTCCTTCTTATGTTGAGGACCCCAGAACTGCACACAGTGCTGCAAGTGGGGTCTCACAAGAGCAGAGTAGAGGGGCAGGATCACCTCCTTCAACCTGCTGCTCACACTCCTTCTGGTGCAGCCCAGTATATGCTTGGCTTTCTGGGCTGTGAGCTAGGTCATGTAGATCCTCATTGAGGAGCTTGCTTCAGCTCCTCTTCATGTATAACTAATAGAAGACAAAGCCAAGGAATACCAGCTCTTATGAGCCATAGCTGTTCCCTTTGGAATCCATGCAGCTTGACATCAGCCCTTGGACTGGAACGGGTGTAGGATCTCATCTCCCTGCAGCCCTGTGACATGCCCGAGCAGCCAGGCCCGGCGGGATGTCTGCCTCATGCTTCACAGCGTGTCTCAGCCCAAACTTGCTCCAGAGCTGCTTATTTTGGGCACAGTCAGCTCAGACGGGTTCAAGGGAGCACTGGGAGGAGGCTCACAGACATGTTGCCTTCTGCCCAGCACCAGCACATGCCTCTCCCATCCACCCTGGGGATCCAGGTCTGTTTGGTTGCCCCATCCTTAAGGGACCCTAAGCTAGGCAGGCAGCAGGAGGGATGTGAAACAGGTCCTAATGGGACTCTCAGCCACCCAGCCCAGATCCGTATCTCAAAGCAGCACCCAAACCCCATTGTGGTTGCAGCCACACATGGACTTTCCCCTTGTCTCCCTCCTTCAAGAGGACTGGACTCAGCAGAACCTAATGTGATGACAGCAAGGATGTTCTTGCACAGCAGCTCCTCCCAGTCCCATGAACTATGAATCTCCAAGAAGTCAGACTCATTCCTGTCCCAACCCAAGTCAGAAATTCTCCATATTCACTATGAGAAACCACCCAATGTTAGCAAGAGCAAGGAAAAGCTGTGGCCATCGCTCCCCTTCCCATCCCAGCCTTCCCCTTTGGGGCTCTGCAAGCCTGTCCCCATTGCCAAGAGGCTGCATGTTGGTGGGGAGCAACCCACAATCCCTATGGAAACTGGTGGGAGCTGGGCTTCTTGGGATAAAATGAACTGAAGCCAGCATGGAGGGAGGCACATGACCTGGAAAAGAGCCATAGAACTGGAATCCAATTGGGAGAGGGATGCTTAGAGCTGGTGTGTCTCACCTGGGCTCCTGGAGCTCGACCACAACCATACGGCATCCTCGCATTCCACGCTGGGATGGGCTGCATCCAGGCAGTTCATACCCATCTGCCCCACTTTCCTCGGAGAAACAGGGAAGGCAGAGCAGGGAGTGGGGCTGGAATCCAAACTGGAGCAAAAAAAAGGTCACCCACAAGGAAGCTTCATTATGGAAACCACACATCATGAAGCAGCATTTCTCTGATGGGATCTGGCCAAGCTTTACCCTGCCTTGCTGCAAGCTCCTGGGCTGTGCTCTGGTTTGGGGCATGCAGAAGACCTGCCCAGCTGAGCTCAGCCAGAAAGGGTTATCCCGAAGTAGTGCCCAAAGCTCGTGGGAAGCAGCAGGAAGCTCCCAATAGCACCTGTAACATCTTCCTCAGCCTTCTCCATTGCCCTGGCTCGTCTATCAGATGCCCCACCATTGGAAGTGATCAGGGTCAGATTGGATGGGGCTTGGAGCGACCCGGTCACACACACACCCCCCATCAGGAAAACTCGGCTCGCTTTTAATCTCAGCTTAAATGCATTACAGATGATTAAACCTTTTCCCATCGAATTCCCTTTTGATGAGCCCTTTGTGTTAGCGAGAAGGGAACCTGCACCCCCTTCCCATTCCCTTCCCTTTCCCCACTTCCCATTGCCTTTCCCTTCCCCAGGTCCCTGTGTCTCCGGCTCGGTGGCAGGTCACGGTGTTCCCGGCACCGTAGCTGGTCACGGTGTGTCCCGATGCTGTAGCAGACCCCGGTGCTCACGGTGTCCCGATGCTGTGGCCGGTCACGGTGTGTCCCGATGCTGTAGCAGACCCCGGTGCTCACGGTGTCCCGATGCTGTAGCCGGTCACGGTGTGTCCCGATGCTGTAGCAGATCCCGGTGCTCACGGTGTCCCGATGCTGTAGCCGGTCACGGTGTGTCCCGATGCTGTAGCAGACCCCGGTGCTCACGGTGTCCCGATGCTGTAGCCGGTCACGGTGTGTCCCGATGCTGTAGCAGATCCCGGTGCTCACGGTGTCCCGATGCTGTAGCCGGTCACGGTGTGTCCCGATGCTGTAGCGGGTGTGGTGTGTGTGTGGGTGGTGTGTGTGTGTGGTGGTGTGGTGTGTGTGTGGGTGGTGTGTCTGTAGCCGGTCACGGTATGTCCCGATGCTGTAGCAGACCCCGGTGCTCACGGTGTCCCAATGCTGTGGCTGGTCCCGGTGTTCCCTGGCTCGGACTCCATTTCCCGAGCAGCCGAGAGGCGGCGCCCGGTAACGGCAGCAGGAAGTGCGGCCGAGCCGAGCCGAGCCGAGCCGAGCCGAATCGAATGCAGCCGAGTGCAGCCGAACGGGCCGAGGAAGCCGAGCCCCTCCGGGCCGAGCCCAGTGAAGCCCTTCCGGGCCCAGCCGAGCGCCGCCGAACGGAGCTGAGCGACCGAGCCGAGCGGAGCCGAATCCAGCCGAGCCCCGCCGGGGAGCCGAGCGGAGCCGAGTGCAGCCGAGCCCCGTTCCGGGGTGAGACGGAGCTCCTCGGCCCACACCAAGGAGCGTTTCGGGGGGCAGCCCCCCCCACCACGGGAGTACTCGGGGGGTGCAGGGGTGGGGGGCCCCGGAGGGGAGGGATGGGGGGCGGGGCTGGGGGGTGGGGAGGAGTGAGGTGTGGACGTGGGGTTTGGGGTGCATGGGAGATGCGGGGTGCAGAGCTGGGGTTTGGGGTGCAGGGGAGATGTGGGGTTCAGAGCTGAGGTTTGGGGTGCAGGGGAGATGTGGGGTTCAGAGCTGAGGTTTGGGGTGAAGAGGAGTTGTGGGGTGCATGGGAGATGCGTGGTGCAGAGCTGGGGTTTGGGGAGCAAGGGAGATGTGGGGTTCAGAGCTGAGGTTTGGGATGAAGAGGAGTTGTGGGGTGCAGATCTGGGTGCAGACCTGGAGTTTGGGGTGCAGGGGGAAGAGTGGGTGCAGATCTGAGTGAAGACCTGGGATCTGGGGTACAGGGGGAGATATGGGGTGCAAACCCGGGGTTTGGGGTGAAGGATTTCTAGGGTGCAAGACGGGATGTGGGGTGCAGGCATGGAGTTGGGGCTCAGGGGAGACATGGGATTCAGACCTGGGAGTTGGGGTGCAGGGGAGATATGGGGTGCAGACTTAAGATTTGAGGTGCAGGGGGAGATCTGGGGTGCAGACCTGGGACCTGTGCATGGGGGGGGATGTGGGGTGAACCTCCCTTTTCAGAGGCCGGGCAGTGCTGTGTGTCACAACGTGGCAGCATCTGGCTCCAGCCCAGGTGCCACCTCCACAGGAGGAGCCCGTGGGGCCACCAACCAGCTCGTTCATTAGCAACCACAGCTGACCAGTTCCTGCTGCCCCGGCACCACCGGGCTCCCCTCTTCCTCTTTCCTTCCTGCTTGGGCTGGAACAAGAGGATAAAGGGCCCCTAAAATTGATCCCATGGGCATGATGCTCACGGGTGCCCGCACCAGGGTGGGGGTGAGCTCCGTGGTCCATAGCCAGGACCCTCAAGGTGAACCCCAAGGTGACCCCAGCTTATTTCCCCTCTACTCCACATAGGGTTTTGGCCACGATGGAGGTGACGGAGCCGGTGGCCAAACGCATCCTGGTGACGGGTGGCACCGGCTTGGTGGGAAAAGCCATTGAGAAGGTGGTGGCTGATGGAGAGGGGCGCCCGGATGAGGAGTGGATCTTTGTGTCCTCCAGAGACGCCGACTTGACGTGAGTTGGTGGGGTTTTCCCTTGGGAAGCCTCCAGTCTCCTCCATTGACCCCACTGAACCCCAATATCTCCGACCTCAGGAGTGCCACAGAGACCAAAGCCCTGTTTGAGCAGCACAGGCCCACCCATGTCATCCATCTGGCTGCAATGGTTGGAGGTCTCTTCAAAAACATCCGCTACAACCTGGATTTTTGGGTGAGCACCCGGGGAATGGGCACTTCCAGGGTCCCTGTGGGTGCTGCAGCCCCAAGGTGGGACACAGGGACATGGCTTGCTCTGCTCCAATGGCTAAACCAGGTCTCCTCTGGTTTCTGGAGCTGCTTATGAGTTATTACCCGTAGGGTGCAGGGTTCTGGGGAGCACAGAGCTTGGATATGGTGGGATTTGGTGGACTCACCCCAGAGATCTCAAACACGCCTCCATCCCTAGAGGAGAAACATCCATATCAACGACAACGTCCTGCATTCAGCGTATGAGACAGGGGTGCAGAAGGTGGTCTCCTGCCTTTCCACCTGCATCTTCCCGGACAAGACAACGTATCCCATTGATGAGACCATGGTGAGCATCTCCATTGCCATGCACAGCCCAGAAGAGGTCCCTGCCCTGCTTAACTCTGCTCTGTCATCCCCAGATTCACAACGGGCCACCTCACAGCTCCAACTTTGGTTACTCCTATGCCAAGAGGATGATTGACATCCAGAACAGGTATGAGGGAACAGATGGGAGAGCCCTTGTAGGATGTAAGCACCCATTGCTTATCAGGACAAAGGGAATTCCATGGGATTCCCAGTAATTAAACAGAGCTGGGGGAGATAACCTGGGCTCAGCACATAGAGGTGCAGGTCAAAGGAGGTGATCCTGCCCCTTTGCTCTGCTCTGCTCTGGTGAGACCTCACTTGCAGCACTGGGTGCAGTTCTGGTGTCAACATCAGAAGGACATGGAGCAGTTGGAGCAAGTCCAGAGGAGGCCACGAGGATGCTCAGGGGCTGGAGCAGCTCCTGTATGGAGCCAGGCTGAGAACATTGGGGCTGTTGAGCCTGGAGAAGAGAAGCTGCGTGGAGACCTCAGAGCAGCTTCCAGTGTCTGAAGGGGGCTACAAGGATGCTGGAGAGGGACTCTTCATCAGGGACTGCAGTGATAGGACAAGGGGTGATGGGTTCAGACTGAAACAGGGGAAGTTCAGGTTGGAGATAAGGAAGAAGCTCTTCCCTGTGAGGGTGCTGAGGCGCTGGCACAGGGTGCCCAGAGAAGCTGTGGCTGCCCCATCCCTGGCAGTGCTCAAGGCCAGGTTGGACACAGGGGCTTGGAGCACCCTGCTCTAGTGGAAGGGGTCCCTGCCCGTGGCAGGGGTTGGAGCTGGGTGAGCTTTAAGGTCCCTTCCAGCCCAAACCATTTTATGCTTCTGGAGCCAGCTCCATGCTGGAGGGGGGGGGGGTGACCACAGTTGTTTGACCTCCCCTGCTCTTACCCAGGGGCTACTTCGAGCAGCACGGCTGCCGCTTCACCGCCGTCATCCCCACCAACGTCTTTGGACCACACGACAACTTCAACATCGAGGATGGCCACGTCTTGCCAGGGCTCATCCACAAGGTCTACCTGGCCAAACGTGAGTGCAGCAGGACTGCTTGCGGCTTTTGGGGGGAGGGTGGGGTTGTTTTGGGGGGGTTCCCCTCCTGTCTGCTCTGTAGGGTAGGTGGGATGAACGGAGCTGGCTCTGATGCTCATGGGCTTGCTCTCCCTTCCTCCTACAGAGAATGGCTCTGCTCTGACCGTCTGGGGCACAGGCAAGCCCAGGAGACAGTTCATCTACTCCCTGGTATGGCCTTGGGGACTACCCTCCTCCCATGGCTTGGGGAGGGCCGGGTATGGGGCTTAGGGGACCATTGGAGTCCACCTGGGTTGTCCTGGGCAGCGTTGGGCATCCTCAGGGCTTGATCCTCTTGTGATGGGAGGGCTGGGGGACAATAGACCCCCCCTAAGAACCATTTGCCCTTCCACAGGACCTGGCCAGGCTTTTCCTCTGGGTCCTACGGGAATACGATGAGGTGGAACCCATCATCTTGTCAGGTGAGACCCCAAAATCCCCCCTCAACCCCTTCGCAAGAGGATGGCGCCACTAGCCTCAATCATGCCCATCTCCACAGTGGGAGAAGAAGATGAAGTCTCCATCAGGGAGGCAGCAGAAGCTATTGTGGAGGCCATGGACTTCAGGGGAGAGCTTCTTGTATCCTTCTCCACAGGTTGGACCCCTTGTTTGTGGGGCTGCTGCAGCATGGGCAGCACCTCACTTTCCACCAGCATCCATAGGGCTCTAGGAAAGACGCTGTGGTCCAGAACATCCCTCCCATAGGACACAGTGGGACAAAGCAAGACCTGTGCTTTCCCCTTAACCATTCCTATCCCAGTTTGACACCACCAAGGCCGATGGGCAGTTCAAGAAGACAGCCAGCAATGCCAAGCTACGGCGCTACCTGCCCAGCTTCCAGTTCACACCCTTCAGGCAAGGTGAGATGGGGTCTCCATGAAAGACTGAGGTCCTACCCACCACAGTTACCCTTGGTGGCATCAGGGTAGACCATCCTTTCAATGGGGGCTTGTAAGAAAGATGGGGACAGACTGTGTAGTAGGGCCTGTTGTGATAGGACAATGGGTTGGGTTGGAAAGGGCGTTAAAGCTCAGCTACTTCCAGCCCCTTACCATGGGCAGGGACACCTTCTACTAGACCAGGTTGCTCCAAGCTCCATCCAACCTGGCTTTTGTAGTGGTTTTAAACTAAAAGAGGAAGAATCATAGAATAGTTAGGGTTGGAAAGGACCTTAAGATCATCAAGTTCCAACCCCCCTGCCATGGGCAGGGACACCTCGCTCTAAACCATATCACCCAAGGCCTCATCCAGCCTAGCCTTGAACACTGCCAGGGATGGAGCATTCACAACCTCCCTGGGCAACCCATTCCAGTGCCTCAGCACTCTAACAGGAAAGAATTTCCTCCTTATATCCAATCTAAACTTCCCCTGTTTAAGTTTTAACCCATTACCTACCACTGCAGTCCCTGATGGAGAGTCCATCCCCAGCATCCCTGTAGCCCCCTTCAGACACTGGAAGCTGCTCTGAGGTCTCCACGCAGCTTCTCTTCTCCAGGCTGAACAGCCCCAATGTTCTCAGCCTGGCTCCATACAGGAGCTGCTCCAGCCCCTGATCATCCTTGTGGCCTCCTCTGGACTTGCTCCAACAGATCCATGTCCTTTTTATGTTGAGGACACCAGAACTGTACACAATACTCCAAGTGAGGTTTATGTTGAAGGTGGTGAGACACTGGACCAGGCTGCCCAAAGAGGTGGTAGATTCCCCATCCCTGCCAATGTTCAAGGCCAGGTTGGACACAGGGGCTTGGAGCAAGCTGCTCTACTGGAAGGTGTCCCTGCCCATGGCAGGGGGCTGGAACTGGCTGAGCTTTAAGGTCCCTTCCAGCCCAAACCATTTCATGCCCAAACTGCATTCCCAATCCCAAACCTATCCCATCTTCTCCCTCCCAGCCGTGAAGGAGACCTGCGCCTGGTTCAGCACCAACTACGCCAACGCCAGGAAGTGATGGGTCAATGCTGCGCCGGCATCATCCTCTTCAACTCAGGGTTGTCCTTTGCTGGGGCAGAGGACGGGGCTGGGGGGGGACACAGTGACGTTTCCAAAGTACAAAAGGGCCACCAGAGCCCACTGCGAAGCCACCATGGTCCCACCTGCTGCTGGGAGCAGTGTGGGATGCTCAGTGCAGGTGGAAAGGACGTTTGGGCACCCCGAAAGGTGCTGGGACCCCAGACTAGATGGTAGCAACCAACTAGAGCCACAGCCTTTGCTGTGTCCAAGAAGCTGGTGGCTCTGGCTGGGCTCTAATGGGTTACACTACTAATTACCTGTAATTAGGCTGTAATAAAGGGAAGGTGATCAGGGTTCCTCTGGCACAGGAATGGCAACCAGGCCTTTGCTGTTGGTTTTGGCAAAGCCCCAGCGTCAGAATGGGGGGACACCAGACTGGGGGAAGCTCCAGTTTCAAACAGGGCATTCATTAAAATGGATGGAAATAGATTATTAGTGATGGGATGAGGAGCATCTGCTCTGCAGGACAGTCCCATACCCACATCGAATGGCACCTTCAGGGTCCTGAGCACCACCACGTGCTCTCCAGCAGGACCTGGAAGAGCCAAGAGAGGGTTTAAAACCCCTCTGGGAGGGAGTAGAGGGTCAACCATGGGGAGATGAGCCCATGGCCAAGCTCCTGCATGAGGTTCAACCAATGGCATGGACATGGCAGAAGTCCTGCCCAGGGGTGGCTTTCTTCCAGCATCGCTGCCTGGCCTTTGTGAGCCCTTGGCATAGGGACTGTGAGGACAGCAAGGAGCTAACAGCAGAGGAGAGACTCATCAGCACCCCAGAAAGCCTCCCCAGCAGGGTTGTCCCCCCAGTGTCAGGTCAGTGACAATGACACCGGCCCTTAGTGGCCCTGGAGAAGGGATGTCCTCTATGGATGGAATTCATATCACTAGACTTGCTTGGGCTGCAGGGTTTGGGCTCCCAGTGCTTCCCAGTGCCCACAGACACCTCCAACATCTGGTTGGAGAAGAAGGGTTTAGATGGCATCCTCCATGCCTGCTGACAGCCTTGTCCTGCAGATGTCCCTTGACCCCTGAGGACACATGGATCATACAGGACACCCCCTTCCACCCAAGGTTTCTCCCTGTGTGTTACGTCCCCAGCCCTGGCCCCTCTCCCAATGGGGTGTCCTGCACCCACGAGTATGGTCATGATGAGGACCTGACCCTCAAGGGGACATCCCACCCCACACTTACCCTCCGTGAGCTCAGCTTTGAACTCCAGCCCCCATGGGGGGTGATGTGTGTCCTGCTGTGCTGGGGAGGTCCCCTGCCATGGCTGAGGGCTGCGCCAGGCTTGGCTCTGCAGGAACACGGCATTGGTGCTGATGCTCCCATCACTGCTGTGCCCAGGACAGCAGGGAAACACAAGACATGGCCCAGCACAGGATGGGGACATGCTGGAGCTGCAGACCCCAGCCTTCTCCCCACCTCATGGTCATCTCTCCCATGTCCTCCTGCCTGGAAGCTCTCACCTTGCAGGCAGCTCATCTCCATCCTGTCCAGCTCCTCCTGCAACAGCTTCATTCCCCACTGCCTACATGGGGAGGAGGAAAACCAGAGCCCCATCACCTTGGTCCTTCTGTGTCACCATCACAACCCCTGCCTCCAACTTCCCCACAGCCTCCTTTGGGCAGAAATAGGGCAGGGAAGTGGGATGAGGTGGCCAAAAGCTGCAGACAAGCCACCAAGATGTGTCCTGTTCCTGGGGACCAATGGTGGCAGCAGGATGGGACATCAATGATGGAGCCTAGCAGCAATTGAGGGTGCCATGCCCATGCCCCCCAAACATCTCCTACCTGTTTGTGGTGGAGGTGAGCCAGTGATGGGGTTCTTCCTGGAGAAGCAGCATCCATGGTGCCTGCACAGCACCACCACAGTAACCTGCCACCAGCCACTGCCCTGTGGGGAACAGAGGGGGTGGGAGAGGACAGAGCACCCCCAAGTTGAGGTATCCCCAACCATGCCCGCCCAACATCCATCCCCACCTGGGCCAGGATTACTTCCAGCCCCTTACCATGGGCAGGGACACCTTCTACTAGACCAGGTTGCTCCAAGCTCCATCCAACCTGGCTTTTGTAGTGGTTTTAAACTAAAAGAGGAAGAATCATAGAATCATAGAATAGTTGGAAAGGACCTTAAGATCATCAAGTTCCAACCCCGTTGCCATGGGCAGGGACACCTCGCTCTAAACCATATTACCCAAGGCCTCGTCCAACCTGGCCTTGAACACTGCCAGGGATGGAGCATTCACAACCTCCCTGGGCAACCCATTCCAGTGCCTCACCACCCTAACAGGAAAGAATTTCCTCCTTATATCCAATCTAAACTTCCCCTGTTTCAGTTTTAACCCATTACCCCTTGTCCTGTCACTACAGTTGTTGTCCTGCAACCACAAGAGGTTGGGTTGGTCCCCATAGCGGGACCCAGGGACAAAGCAGCCTCCTGCTGATGGCTCTTACCCATCCTCTGGGTGATGTCCTCCACAAGCTGGGCCAGCCGGTGCTGCTCCCTGCTGCTGAGGGTCTCATCCTGCACCGCCTCCTGCAGGTTGTGGTGGGTTGGGGTCTCCAGGCATGGTTGCAGACCCCCATCCGGTGGCTTCCCTTGCCCCTCCTGAGGTCGACATTGGGGTGGTGATGATGGGAGGTGGCTCCACAGCCCCCCGTGGTGGTGCCCATGTGCAACAGGGGCTGTCCCCATGGGCATCCCAAGATGAGCCCTCGGTGTTGAACCTGCATCCCATGGCACTGGGGAAAGAGACTCCTTTGGAAGCAAGGAAGGATGGAGGTGGGAAGAGGCTTGGTAGTGGAAACCTGTGTCTGCAACAGGGGAAATGGACTAAATAGGGCTGGTTTTGACCCAAAATGAGGAGGGGAGGCTGAGCAGAGGTGGTTGGGTGCTCCTCAGGCTCTGCAGCTACAAGGAACAGGTTCACCACCAGCTCGGGTACCTCCTCCTCATTGAGGTTGCTGTGGGACAACTGGAGCTGCACCATGGTGGCAGCACTGGAGTCACCCATGGGTGCTGCCAGCACAGCCAAGGTGATGAGGGCTAAAAAGGGGATGGGTTTGGGTGCAAAATAAAGAGAAATAGTATAAGGACACCCCAGCACTTGGCCTTTGCCACCAAACCCATCCCGTGCCAACACAGAGCACCCCACATCTGGCAAGGGGAGTACCCAGGGTGGGGGATCCCAATGACCCCCATTCCCAGCCGTGGAGCGGAAGCCTCACAACCACACCTGATGGGCACCAGAGTCCGGGGGTGATGGGACCCTGCGTGAGGCTTTGTCCTGGAGCTGCTCATCCCTTGGGGTCACCTCGAAGGGGACACCTGGGGGGGTCCTCACGTCCTCCTGGGGGGTGCTGAGGCCCAGCCACCCAAATGACCTGGCTGTGGTGCAGAGGAGCAGCAGAGCCCAGCAGCTCCAGGGCAGCAGCATAATGGGGGGGTGGTCCAGGGGGGGGACACCCAAAGGCTGGGAGGTGATACCCCAAATACAAGGACAAGCTGGGGGGGGGGGACCCCCCAGTACACACAGGGGTATGAGGGGCAGCCCAAGCTTGGAGTGATGGGGGGAGTAAAGGGGGGCATAAAGGGAGGAGGATGGAAGGGAAGGGGATAAAGGGAGGAGGATGGAAGGGAAGGGGATAAAGGGAGGAGGATGGAAGGGAAGGGGATAAAGGGAGGAGGATGGAAGGGAGAGGGATAAAGGGAGGAGGATGGAAGGGAAGGGGATAAAGGGAGGAGGATGGAAGGGAAGGGGATAAAGGGAGGAGGATGGAAGGGAAGGGGATAAAGGGAGGAGGATGGAAGGGAAGGGGATAAAGGGAGGAGGATGGAAGGGAAGGGGATAAAGGGAGGAGGATGGAGGAGGGAAAGGGATAAAGGGAGGAGTGGAGGGAAGGGGATAAGGAGGAGGATGGAAGGGAGAGGGATAAAGGGAAGGTGGAAGGGAAGGGGATAAAGGGAGGAGAATGGAAGGGATGGGGATAAAGGGAGGAGGATGGAAGGGGTGGGGATAAAGGGAGGAGGATGGAAGGGAGAGGGATAAAGAGAAGAGGATGGAAGGGAAGGGGATAAAGGGAGGAGGATGGAAGGGAAGGGGATAAAGGGAGGAGGATGGAAGGGACGAGAATAAAGGCAGGAGGATGGAAGGGAAGGGGATAAAGGGAGGAGGATGGAAGGGAAGGGGATAAAGGGAGGAGGATGGAAGGGACGAGGATAAAGGCAGGAGGATGGAAGGGAAGGGGATAAAGGGAGGAGGATGGAAGGGGGATGAAGGGGATGGAAGGGGGATGGAAGGGGGATGAAGGGGATGGAAGGGGGATGAAGGGGATGGAAGGGGGATGAAGGGGATGGAAGGGGGATGAAGGGGCCGGTGGCCGCCGGTAGGTGTCTCCCTACACGCGGTCCCTCCCGTTCGCCACCGCCACCCCCAGGGAGCGCGCCCGCACCTACGTAAATATCCCCGTCCCCGCCCCGGCCTAGGGCCCGCCCCCTATGAGCCAGGGTCCGCCAATAGGGTGCAGGGGGAGGGCACCGAGCAGCCAATGGGCGCTGAGGTGGGGGCGTGGTCTGCAGCGAGCGATGGAGGCGGCGGAGCTGCGCGTCGGGTTCGTGGGCGCCGGGCGCATGGCGGGAGGCCTGGCCCGGGGGCTGCTGCGGGCCGGTACGGGCGGGGGGGCCCGGCCCTGATGTGGGTCCCTGCCCTGCTGTGGGTCCCTGCCCCATAGAGCGGGGGGGGTCATGGGGACAGAGCGGTCCTGGCCCCTCCTGTGGGTCCCTGCCCCATAGAGCGGGGGCGGGTCATGGGGACAGAGCGCTCCCGGCCCCTCCTGTGGGTCCCTGCCCCATAGAGCAGGGGGGCATGGGGACAGAGCGGTCCTGGCCTCTCCTGTGGGTCCCTGCCCTATAGAGCAGGATGGGGGGGTCATGGGGACAGAGCGGTCCTGGCCCCTCCTGTGGGTCCCTGCCCCATAGAGCGGGGGGGGCATGGGGACAGAGCGGTCCTGGCCCCTCCTGTGGGTCCCTGCCCCATAGAGCGGGGGGGGCATGGGGACAGAGTGGTCCTGGTCCCTCCTGTGGGTCCCTGCCCCATAGAGCGGAGGGGGGCATGGGGACAGAACGGTCCTGGCCCCTCCTGTGGGTCCCTGCCCTATAGACCAGGGTGGGGGGGACGTGGGGACAGAGCGGTCCTGGCCCCTCCTGTGGGTCCTTGTCCTATGGAGCTGGGGGGAGATATGGGGACAGCCTGGTCCTGTCCCCCTCCCCTGGGTCCCTGCCCATTGATCACTGGGGGAACAGCCTTGTCCTGCCCCGCTCTCTGGAGTCCCTGCCCCATAGAGCAGTGTGGGGACATGGGGACAGCCTGGTCCTGGCCCCCTCCCTTGGGTCTCTGCCCTCCCAGGGTCCCTGACACACAGACTGCAGTGGGGACATGGGGACAGGCGGGTACCGTGCCCCATGACCAGGGCAGGGACAGCCCTGCTCTGCCTCAGAACCTGGCAGACGGCCCCTCCATTTGGGGTCACCCCCATTGTCACTGCCCCAGGGCACAACTGGGTGCCCATGGCCATCCCCATGGGGTACCCACAGCCCTTCCCATGGCAGGGTCTGGCCCTGGCTCCCTTTGCTCCGGGTTCTGAGGGTGCTGGGCTTGGAGAAGAGGCTGGGATCAGCCCCCATCCGCTCGCTCACCCCTGCCCCTGTGTTCCCAAGGGAAGGTGCCAGCCAGCAGCATCCTGGCCAGTGCTCCCTCGGACAAGAACCTGGATGCGTGGAGGGTGAGTGTGGGCACAGGGTGACATCACTGCGCTTGGGGGCTGGGGGGTGGGAGGTGTAGAACCATGGAATGGGTTGGGTTGGAAGGGAACTTAAAGCTCATCCAGCTCCAGCCCCTGCCACGGGCAGGGGCACCTTCCACTAGAGCAGGGTGCTCCAAGCCCCTGTGTCCAACCTGGCCTTGAACACTGCCAGGGATGGGGCAGCCACAGCTTCTCTGGGCACCCTGTGCCAGCGCCTCAGCACCCTCACAGGGAAGAGCTTCTGCCTTATCTCCAACCTGAACTTCCCCTGTTTCAGTCTGAACCCATCACCCCTTGTCCTGTCACTCCAGTCCCTGATGAAGAGTCCCTCTCAGCACCCTTGTAGCCCCTTCAGACACTGGAAGCTGCTCTGAGGTCTCCACGCAGCTTCTCTTCTCCAGGCTGAACAGCCCCAGTGTTCTCAGCCTGGCTCCATACAGGAGGTGCTCCAGTCCCTGAGCATCCTTGTGGCCTCCTCCCAACTTGCTCCAACAGCTCCATGTCCTTTTTATGCTGAGGACACCAGAACTGCACCCAGTGCTGCAAGTGGGGTCTCATGAGAGCAGAGTAGAGGGGCAGGATCACTCCTTTGACCTGCTGGTCATGTTTCTTTGGGGTGCCCCTTACCACAGTGTCAGGACACCCTTTTACCCCATTCATGGCTTTGGCTTATCCACCCCAGCTCCGGGTGAAACCCAGGCAGTGGTTCTGTGGCCAGAGCAGGTCCCCAGACCGTGTCCCCACGGTGGGGTTGGTGGCTCCCAGGCTGTGACACCCCTCCCTGTGCATGGGCAGGAGTCGGGCTGTCGGACCACGCACTGCAACCTGGAGGTGCTGCAGGAGAGCACCCTGGTCATCCTGGCCACCAAGCCCCACGTGCTGCCGGGTGTGCTGCAGGAGATCCGGCCTGCTGTGGGACCACACCACATCGTCGTCTCCTTGGTGGCCGGGGTCACCCTCCAGACACTGCAGAGGGTGAGTCCGCTCCTCCTCTTCCTCTTCCTATCCCCCTTGCTATCCCTTTTCCTGTTCCTCTCCCTCCTGCTCCTCTTCCTCCTCTTGCTTCTTTTTCCTCCTCTTCCTCCTCCCTTCTTCTCCTCCTTATCCTTCATCTCTTCCTCCTCTTCTCTCTCATCCTCCTCTTCCTTCTCCC